TCAGCATCTTAGCTGTAGAGGGCAGTGTCACTGGCCCTCATATGTGGGATCTGAACCAGGGCCCTCTGGCGTCCCAAGCCAGTTCTTAACCATTGTGCCACTCGGCCGGCCCTCTCATTCTCTTTTAAAAAAGAGAGGGCATCTGCTAGGATTGAAGGGAAGGCCTTACGTCACATTTGTGTTCAGGCTGAGTCTTAACGTCACAGAATATGACGTGGGCAAAGTTCTCAGAGCACGAGAGACTGTAAGAAACAGGATTTGTCAAACTTCACTTGCTTGCCACCCGCTTTGTACACTGTCGGGCTGTATCTGGGTACCTCCTCCATCGCTGTGTGCAATAATGTCGAACAATTTTAATGTCATATAATATTTAAGCCACTTAGACGGCGTATACTTGGGGCTTAGTCTGGCACATAGAAGTAGGTGCCATCTTGATTTTCTGTTCTCAAATGAAAGTATCTCAAAGACTTTGAGTTGCCCAAAGTCATTGGCTGTTTGGTGGCCGAGCCGCGGTGGGCACCCAAGTCCCCCTTATGCATGATTCTTGTTGCCATTGCTGGTTTTTTTTTTACCCCTTCTTTCTCTTTGTGGTTTTCATTTGGCATCCCGGGGAGATATCACGTCTGCATTTGCAACCTTAGCTCCAGGCTGGGAGTTGACTATTACTCCACGCCATGCTCGGGGTTGTGGTCTCAGTCTGAATAGGCCGGGCTCTGCTCAATGAAAATGACTCTACCTGTAGGAGGCGGTACCACTTAGTACAGTGTCAGGAAGGATCAGTGTCCCCAGACCCACGCAGGAGTGAGTCCTCTGTGCAACAGCACAATTTTAGGAAAATTGGAAAATGCAGCATTAAATGAAAAAATATCATTCTTAACACCAACTCCATTTCATTGTTGATATTTTGGTCCTTTTTCTCTTAGTAATGGGTGTGTGTGTGTGTGTGTGTGTGTGTGCGCGCGCGCGCGCGCGCGCGCGCATGTGCGTGCATGTGTTAACCATATTATGGCCATGCTGTTTTCATGTAAGATGTATAATTTTTCCAGGTTGCAAATTCTTTGTAAATATACAGTCTGTTCTCATTATTTGTGGTCATTTTGTTGTGTAAAGTCACCATGAAGGCTGAACCCACCGCTCCTGGGGGAAATACATACAGGGTTAGGTTCCTGCGAGCCCCTGGTCCCAACAGTTTTGTCAGCCAGTCAACACGTAACCTCGTTTCATGTCTGCTGCTGTTTAAAGATACCTTTTTAACATACAGTGTTCATTCACTGACATTGGACTCACGGCCAACAGCCCTGTAATGCACACATGAACAAAGGTTACCCATGTTTTCTCTGTAATGGAAGTCACAGCCTCCTTGTGCTTAGAACGCCAGACAGCACCACACTTGGGGGCCATTTTAAACAGAAAAATCACCAAGAAAATGCACAAGATTGTGAACAGTGTGGCACTAAACAGCCCGCCTAAGGGACACACGGACAGTAAGACAGTTAAGAAGGCACAGCCCATCTTGTTGATGTCACCTGGGTGACCCAAACTTTATGCCACTCTGCTCATGTCCGTGAGTGACCTTGACAGCACCGCGGACATTGATTTTGGGGTTACCAGTAAACTGTAGTGAGCAGGTGAATTTGCAAATAATGAAGACCGACTGTAATTTTAATGGGCTGCCTACTGTTCCTCCTCATAGGCGTATCCGAGTAAACTTAGCCCCAGCTAGTTCTCTGAACGGTGAGGCTGTGCATTTTAAGTGGCCATGTGTAACTTCCTTCTACTTGCCTCTTTCCCAGTGTGGAAGCCAGTCCTGCAGGCCAAGGAAGTCCCCTGAGCGGCCGGTTACCTTCCACCTCGGTGCCGGAGTCGATGACAATTAGTAAGTACTTTCCACCGACACTGCGATGGCTGCTGGGCCGCACGTCATGGCAGTTCTTCTGTGCTGCCTCCTGCATGGCTTGGCGAAATGTGGGCTAAAGGCAGGTGTGTGTGTCCTTGGTCGTGGACTTGAGGTATGTGACTGCAGGCTCGCTGAGCCACGGTTGACACATGACGCTCAGGCGTGTGCACGCTCTAAAGGACATGCTTCAGGAGCGGAGCCGCACTAAGTTAGGAGGGAACCTATATTCTCTTGTTCTGGGTTTTGGAGTTTTCCTCCTGGAAAGCTGTCAGCTTTCAGAGAAACTGTTCCAGTTGGGTTTCCTCTGTAGCCCTAAGTCCCTTACTTTTTGTAAGTAAGGAAAGGTGTGTTTCTCAGAGGTGAATGAAGGTTGCTAATGATGAGGTTGAAACTGTTTTCAACCTCACCACTCAGAAATAGTATTAGAAATGTAGCCATTAGGATTAGGTCTGAGCCACTTTATATAATAACGAATAAACCAACTGTGTCTTAACGAGGCAGAAACGCTTCTCTCTGTCCAGAGGCGGGCAGGCTGGGGCTGGTATGCGGCTCCAAGGTCACCAGAGGCCAGGACTCCTTCTATCTTGCTTTATAGTCCAACATGGCTGTTTTAGCTCCAGCCATCCTCTCCTCATCTCAGGGAGCAGGAAGGAAGAAGGGGCAAAGAAGAAACAGCCTCCGTTTCCATAGATAGGACTCAGGGGTCTGAACTTACATAGGCGAAAAATTTACACCCTTTTCACGTAGCCTCTGATTGAAATTTAGCATTTTCTTAATTGCAAAAGCAACAGCAAACCACAGAAATTGCAGTCATGTTAGAAAATGGGTGATTGTGTCACTGAAAGAAGTCACGTGCACCTGCAACAACTGTGACACGAAAAAAAAAACACCTCGGAATGTCATTTCCGCTAAAAACTATGGTTTTTTTTTAATGTGATAATAAAGAATCCTATTATTTTTATGTCAGTTTCGTTTTCTACATTTTGATAATTCTATTTCAATATAATCAGTTTCCTTTGTAATCTTGCATGTCTTATTTTATGTAATTTAGAACATTTTTTTTTCTAAGAGGCCCATGAGCTTCACCAGACTGCAGAATGGGTCCCTGGCACAAAAAAGGTGACACCCCCACTCTGCAGCTATGAGGTGCACACAGTATCCCACGCACATGGCCATCATTAGTCCCATGGCCTAGGAGGCAGTGTGCCCTCCCCTCCCCCCTCCAATTAGGGTTTTCATTGCTAAGGAAGGAAGAGGGTGATGCTTGGGACACAAACAGCAGTCTCCTAAAGGATGAAGAAGGAAAGAACAGGTCCTGTAAGGCTGCTGTGCTGGGAATGACCAGCCCTGCTTTGTATGACGAAAGCGTGGAGTTTATTAGGGGGCTTTTTGGCCTTGAAAAGTGCCCAGCGTATTAAATGCTCAGTAACTGGGAAGTGCTGTTATTAACACCCCCAGCGGGCACGTTGCGGCTGAGCGTCCTGAGAACAGCATCTGGGCCTCCTTGTTGGACTGCACGTGGGTAGCCCTGATTCCCTGCTTTACCGACACCATCTCTATGGCTCGGGCCCCTAAGGTTCTCTTGATGTGCCATCTAGTCCTTCATCTTCCCTCTAGTTAAGAGGAGATTCATCTCTACATTCTTTCTGTGATACTCGTGGCCTCAAGAATGGAAGTCTGATCAGATAGGACAGTCATTCTCAACTGGGGGCGATTTCAACCGCCAGAGGACATTTGGCCATGTCTGGAGACATTTTTGGTTGTCACAGCTGAGGTGGGGGTGCTGCTGGCATGTAGAGCGTGATCCCGGGGACACTGCTAAACCCCCTGCAATCACAGGACGGCCCCACAACAGACAGTTGCCCCGCCCAATGTGTCAGTAGCACCGAGGTCGAGGAACCCGAAAAGGAGGCAGTGGGCTCTTTTCCAGAAACTGTATTTTGTTTTCGACATGTTTAAAAACCACCTGTCTCCTGCAAGGCTCAGGGAATGAAACTTAGGGGAAAAATGAACCTACACGAAATGATAGATCTCAGAAAGCATTTGTCCTTGTGTGTGTACTTGGGAGCTGTTTAGTCCCATTACCCCTGGAATGAAGATGGTTCAGGGGGGGCTTTAGGTGCATGAGGATAAACACAGGTAGGATGAACCAGAACACGTGATCCCCAACTGAGAGCCGCACAACCAATCGTATTCCGCATGTGAGCTCCCAGGTACCATTTTTCTGGAACTTGTTGGAAATTCCTTCAGTTGATATTTATTGGCATTCACGTCAGCCTCACAGTCCCTCACTTCCTCTTTAAAAATAAGTTTCTACTCTTGAATTGATTGCTTTGTGTGATTATTTGAGAGCTGGACGTTGCTCTAATTCCTGCTGATCGCGGGAAGAGCAGCACCGGAGCCACCAGGGGGCGCTCTGGCCCCGTCTGTGCTCCCCTCTCTGCGGCTTTGCTTCTGTAGCTGTGGGATTTTGCATCTCAATTTTGATGTCCAGCGCTGGCGTCCTCTTTTAACAGTGAGGCGGGAGGGTGGTGGTGGTCGGAGCAATGACCTCCTCTAGCTGAAAAACATCAGGCCTGCACAGAATATCCTGTTCCCCACTAGCGTAACTAGAGTCCACATCGGCTCTCCGGAGGGGCGGTACAGGTGTCTGGCCCTGCTCCGAAAAGGAATATACAGCTAATTAGAAAATATTCCTCCTGTGTCATTGTTTCTCACGCGCTATCATTGATTATCCATGGGTAATTATTCAGCGTTCGAAGTCTAATCATTGCTTTCTTTTTCCTTTTTATTGGTGGGGGGTGGGGAGTGACGGGTGGTGGAGAGAGAGGTAAGCCCAGATAATCAACCCGGCTGTTTTCTTTTGATTTCGCCTCACTTTTGATCTTGCGCCAGGGCAGAGAGGGCGAGAAAAAAACATCCTCGGCTGTCATCAGGCCTTGTTGAGCAGGTCCTTTTTATTCTCGGCTATTATAGGAAGGGATTCCCAATATTAGTGAGGAGGTCTGGCTTGTCGCCTGGCAACGCAGTTCCAAACACTGGGCTGCCTGAAGGGTGCCGCAGTGATGCTGGAGAGCGAGGCCGCAGGGCCCAGCAGTTGGCCCGTTGCCTGGCTGAGGGTTTGATGATACAGTTTTCCGAGGAGATGGTGGGGCCGCAGCCATTACACTGGTGGCCCCCTGAGCCCCCTGCCCCTTAACCTCAAGGAGTGGACAGCCAACGCAAATCCTCAAGTGTCTTGAAAGGGGAAATTTCCCACTCCAGTTGACCTACTAGACCTTCCGTGGCTGAGTTGGTAATTGGAACGTTCCAGATGGAATTTAGACGAGCCTCGTTTCTCTATTGATTTGTTACTCAGTCCAGAAACGTTTACCAAGCATCTGTCACATGCTGGGTACATGTTGGGGAGTCAAAGGTGAAGGGGATCCAGCCCTGTGCCATGCCTCAGTTTCCCCATCATCGAAATGCGGTTCTAAGAGCCAGTACCTTCGGTTGTTGTGAGGACTAAATGAGGCAACATATATAAAGTGCTGACACTCACGCACTCGGTACTTAGTAGATATGGGCTCTTATCATGCAGACCCTGCCCACAAGGAGTTCAAATTCCAGCGGAAATAACGTTGGTGATAAAACACAAAATCAAAGGATGATTGGATGGGGAAAGAGAAAGGCAACGGGGTCATGTGGAAGTGATATATCCTTCGTTACTTGTGGGCAGTGAGTGACCTCACAGTGACCGTCCCTTGCCCTCACCTGGCGCGAGCTCCTCCAAGCAGGAGATCCTAATCGGAGGTTCTGACCGCATGGTACAGCCTCGCTCCTTACCTGGGATCAGGGGGCGTGGACCCTGAGGCTAAGCGAGAGGCAGAGGCGTTGTGTTTAACGGGATGGGGGCCAGGTGGAGAGGGTGTCGGAGGAGGGCATAGCTAAGGGGTGGGTGCAGAGGGGGTGCTTGGCCAGGAAGGGACGGCGCTCCCGGGAGAGGGGCAGTGACGTGCAAAGGCCGCAAGAACGCGTCATGCACCGAGCAAGTGCTGCCCAGCACCAGCTGGGGGGCGGTGGCGGTGGTGGGGGGGACTCTTCGCACCATCAGGAAGCACCTGGGGAAGTGATGGTGATGCTGTTGCTAAGTCCTCTGAACCCTGGCCACATCCATTCGCTCTTCACAGCAATCCCCGGAGGGAGAGGCTGCCGTTACCCCGTTTGACAGACAGGTCCAGCACCCCTGCAGCTGGTGGCAGGCAGAGCTGGGACTCGGTGGTGCTTAGCCCAGGAAGGCCGTGGTTAGCCTGGCCGGAGACCCAGGCCCAGCCTGTTCCCCAGGGCGTTTCCATGGGTCCCTCTTTCGTGGTGCCCTCCTGCTGTAGGCTGGTGTTGCTGCCCGAAGCTTCCCCTTGACTGTGCTCAGCCAGGGGGCTGCCGTGAGCTCTCCAGGGCGCAGCATCCTAGCTGTGGTCTTGGTTCTTTTTTGAGTGAAACATGGTTTTTTATTGTCTCTTTTTGGAATTTTGTCCTTCCAGTTGAGTTCTGTTGCATTCCTGCAACAACTCAGTCTCCCGATTTGTTTACAAACGTTCAGGTGGCGGCGCTCATTGACCCCTAAGCTAGGATTGACTTTTGGTCTTGAGCTTTCTGTTTCCTCCCTCCCTCATTCTCCCCTCTCCTCCTCTCTCCTTCTCCCCCTTTCTCTCCCCTCTCCCTCTCCCTCTCCCTTCTCCCCTCTCCCCCTCTCTTCCTCCTCTCCACTCTCTCTCTGGCCAGGCACAGCTTATGTAACAGTTTCATGCATTTCAGAGCTGATCCAAAACAGGCTTCTTGCTGAGGGGATGAGGCACCAGTCAGACTTGTTTGAAATGTACCTGCAGAAGAGCTGGGGCAGTTTGGTGTGTACAACTGCATCTGGGCCAGTTACTAGGTTTGAACTCAGGGTGGGGGTAGCCTGGCTGGGCTGGGCACCCATGGAGCTGGGTTGGCCACCC